TATCCTTCTCAGAGCGGTACATTACTTCATGTGAAAATTGTAAAATCTGAATCCAATCATGAGGAAAGATCAATAAACCAAACTGAAAAGCAATCTACAAAATTAACAGGGTTATATTCTTTTTTTTTTTTAATATATTTTATTGATTTTTTACAGAGAAGAAGGGAGAGGGATAGAGAGCCAGAAACATCCACGAGAGAGAACATCGATCAGCTGCCTCCCGCACATCCCCCACTGGGGATGTGCCCGCAACCAAGGCACATGCCCTTGACCGGAATCGAACCCGGGACCCTTGAGTCCGAAGGCCAACGCTCTATCCACTGAGCCAAACCGGTCCGGCATAGGGTTATATTCTTTAAAAATATCAATGTTTGGAAAGAGAAAGGCTTATACCAACTTTAGAGATTAAAAAGACATGAAAATTGCCCTAGCCGGGTGGCTTAGATAGTTGGAGTGTCCTCCTGTACATCAAAAGGTTGGGGTACGATTCCTAGTCCGGCATGTACAGGAGGCAACTGATTGATGTTCTTTCACATCCATGTTTCTCTCTCTCCCCTCCTCTCTTAGAAAAAAAAAAAGTCAATTAAAAAAACATGCCCTCAGGTGAAGATTAAAAACAACAACAACAACAACAACAACACACACACACACACACAAAACAACCCCTGCAATTCTTAAATAATAAAATAAAAATAAATAGGAAGACATGAAAATCAAATACAATATGTACATATTCTGGATTTCCCCTGCCCAAGAATGCTACAAAGGACCTTATAGGGACAATTAGTGAGATTCCAATGTCTGTAGATTAGATAATGGTATGTTATCAATGTTAATTTTCATGATTTTTATAGTTCCAAAGTGGTTTTTTAATGGAGTGTCCTTGTTCTTAGAAGGAAATAATATTTAATTATTTATGGGTAAAGAAACACAATGTCTTCGACTTATTCTCAAATGTTTGTAAAGAGTGAGAGTGATACACACAACTTGGATAAGTCTCCAAAGAATTTTGCTGAGTGAAAAAGAGTCATCCCAGAAGGTTGCATACTGTGTGATTCCATTTATGAGCATTTTTTAAATGACAAAATTATAAAGAATAGGTTAGTGATTGTCAGGGGTTAGGGATGTGGCTATAAAAGGGCAACATGGGGGATCCTGATTTGATGTAGTAGAGGTTTGCCAGATTTTATCATTGGTGTGGCGGTGGGGGGTGGGTGGGAGGGGGGTAAAGCGTACACAGGATCTCTCTATATTATGTCTTATAATCATGTAACTATATGCGGATCTACAAATAGCTCCAAATGAAGATTAACCACCCCCACAAACAGCGAGTTGATAATTTTAAAAATACAAAAGTAACTTTCCATTAAAAATAACAATCTTACCATCCAGTATCCACCTCCTGATATATCCAGTCAAAAGTCCCAGGGAACTTGTGTGGATTGCTGCTGACAATACAGCTTTTAATTGTTCTTCCTACACCATGCATACAAAAAAGTAGGTCATTAAATAAGAAAGGATATGTGATCACAGAATCAGAGGCAGAAGTTCTAGTTCAGAATACAAAATTTTAAAGGCTTAAAAATCATTATGACTCACTAGGATGGCTATATAAAAAAAGACAGACAATAATGAGCATTGGTGACGTGGAAAAATTGGAATCCTCACACACTGCTGGTGGGAATATAAAATGATAAAGCCCACTTTGGAAAACAATCTGGTAATTCCTCACAATCAAAATTACCATATGACCCAGCAATTCCACACCTAGGTACACACGCAAGAGAAATGAAAACACATGACTACACAAGAACTCCATATGAAGCAGCATTATTCCTGATAGCCAAAGACTGTCCATCAGCTGAAGAATGAATTTCAAAATGAGGTATACTTGGTACAGTGAAATACTAGCCAGCCATAAAATGAAATGAAGTACTGATACATGCTACAAGATAATGAACCTTGAAAACATTGTGCTAAGTGAAAGAAGCCAGTCACAAAATGCCATATTATTAAGATTCAATTTATAGCCCAGCCAGTGTGGCTCAGTGGTTGAGTATCAACCTATGAACCAGGTCATGATTCAATTCCTGGTCAGGGCACAGGCCCAGGTTGCAGGCTTGATCCCCAGTAGGGAACATATAGGAGGCAATGATCGATGTTTCTCTCTCCTCTCAAAAATCAATAAAAACATATCCTTGGGTGAGGGTTAAGAAAAAATCATCTCACCTGACTTAAACTGGAAGGCTGCATATCAATAAGTCTTGGTGAGAGAAGGCCAGCCATAAGACATCGATTATAACTATCAGAAATAACTTCATTGATAAATGGTCCTGATTTCTTTAAAAAGGTCAAAGTCTGAAATAGATTGATCAATAAGATATCAATTAATCAAATAACCAAATTTAAGAATACATAATAAACTCATTACCCCACTCATAGACTTAACATTTTGAATAAAACTAAAAACAGTGAAATGGAAATTGTGGAAGACTACATTTTTGTACTTCTTTCAAGGAAAAGAGTTTATAGGTTCTTGAGCTAAATCAATGCTTTGTAATTATAAATATTGTAGCTTACATGTTTTTATGAAAGGTACCCATTACCTTCTCTAAAGCTGATAGACTCGATGACAGCTCTTTATGAACACACACACACACACACAACACCCTGCAGTTAATTCCTCTGGGTCTAATATACAAAAGACCTGATATGAAGTATAAATACGGCATTCATCTACATCTATGTGATTATGAGTTAAAAGGTTTGTCACTTGATGTTTTCCTAGAAAAGTATTTTTCAACAGACAGTCATCATCCGCTCTGTGCCAGGCACTGTACCACTGTGCTAGGTACCTCTTTGCATTACTTTATTTATTCAAAAGCTTTCTGGAGAAAGGAGAATTTAGAGAAAGGATTAAAAGGGACAGGTAAGACAATGACCTACTTTGATCTTTTCCTTGGGGTCAAGTAGCTAACATCCACAGAAAGCTGCTAAAAACATTCCGATACGTCTCATTAACCTAGAAGCTACCATCAAGTTTAAATCCATCATCTGATTTGAGTTCAATAAGAAACACTGTCCACATTGCCAGCTGTTACCTACCTCCTTCTGAAAGCCAGTACAAGTTATATGAACAACTCCTGAGTTTAACAAACAAGTGGCATCTAAAAAAAAGATTTTAAAAATCCACTTAAGTATTATATTTGAAATGGCATTGATAACAACAGAATTTCTCTTAACAGACTGCTAGCCAAGGTATCAAATTATTATATACAATATATTTTAAAATATTTTTCCAAGTATTTCCAAACTTTATAAAAAATGATACCCAACTTTATCACAAATGCAGTAAGTGTGAAATATTTAATCTTTTCTAGCAAATTCAAAACTGTGATAATTTCTTTATAGACTATGTAAGTATTAAATTTCTCATGTACATGTATATTTTCTATGCTATCCATATATTAGCTGACAATGAGATATGAATAGATAATACTATGCACATATGTTAAACATAAATACACACACACATAATCTTGCATGTTATTTTTCTCAAAAGGTAATGTTAGGGAAATACATACCAAAGTTATAGGAACTTGGGTTAAAAAACTGCTCAGGAGGCGAGTATGAAGGAGCAAGTCCCCGACTTAAACTTCTCTCGTGGACTAATATATCCAAGATGTAATGTGGAGAAGTCATATTTACAACAGAATCCAGCGACCACAATGCAAAATAAGAGCAATTATGTAGAGTTTCTCCCGATCTAAAAGGAAATTTTACAAAATTATTCACTGAATTGCTACAGATACAAATACCAAAAGAAAGAGAGAGACGCATACCTTAGTGAATCTGGCATTTGCGCATGATACCAACGATTTATGTCAAAAATCCCCAAATATATAGAAGGCTTTCCTTGTCCATATATATTCACTTGCCAGGTGAAGATTGAAACGCTAGTGTCAGGAGACAGAGCTAAAAGGAAAAGATAATTTTAAAAACTAGAATAATCTCAAAGTAAAATCCCCCAAATAAAACTATAACAAGATCTTTCTCATAAATCCCTATTTGACTTCATTTGCCAAAACACACTTCTATCATGCATTTTATAAGTAGAGATTTACTCACCTTTATCTTAACTGTTTTTATATTTCAAGAACACCTTATTAAAAACTCATCAGAAAAGTTATATTCTGGCTTATTTTCAGTTTGTCATCTTGGCAACTTTGAGGTATTAGAGATAGAAAATAGAAAATGATCTGAATGAATATCTCCCAAGAATGGTGCATAGCTAGTACCAGAGAATATCAATACCTAAAGTGGATGCCTTTAGGTCTTAGAGCTGAATTCTTTAAAGGAACTTTGGTTGAGAAGGACTGATCTACTAGTAAATGCATAAGTCGAACAACAAATCGATGTTACTCTCTCTAAAATCGATTAAAAAAATATATAAACTTTAAATCAAGCATTCACATGCCATATAAGAGAACTTTTAACTAACCTTCACTCATGCTTTCCTCCCTGTCACCATGAGATCGAAATTTCTCTATACTCTGGCATCCCAACAGTTTGGTATTACTAGTCTGTCCCCTCAAAGGAAACATGCCACATGTGAGGTCCAGTGTATATCTTTCTTCACAGTACTCCAACCCCTGAAAAATAAAGTGTACAAAATCCTTATCTTCATAGGATTCTAAGCAAAAAGTCATTCTAAAATGAAATGTTTTCGGAATTTAAAGATTTTTCACAAAGAAAACAAAAAAAGTTAAACACTGAAAGCTCTAAAATTTCATATAGCATAAAATATTTATCAAATAAAAAGCTAGTTTTAGTCTCTCAAAAGTAATTACCAATAAATTTTTTGAAGCTGTTATCAAACATGGGAACCTTCATGTACTACTGGTTGGAGTGTAAATTGGACTAACCACTGAAGTATATACACATACTCTAGGCCAGCAAACCTACTCTTGTATTCGCAATGAAAATCTTGCTCTAGGTCTTTGCTCATCAATCCCTTTAAGAATCTGAAAAAAGCTGTGAAACTTTCCCCCCAAATGCATAATCAGTAGAATGCCTGTACACATCATTCAGGTACCCATCCCTATACCCTCGAACACTAGGTTTAGAAAGCCTGTTCTGGGGAATGGAATGTGAGGGTTGACCAAACATGGCTATTAGTAGCACCCCACTATTTCCTCAAGAATTCAGCCACAAAAATATGAAAGGCTAGATGTATTTATGCTCTTATACAATTGTCAGTGACAAGACTGTTTATAAAGTCACCCCATGGTTTACTGCTTGATCTGTTAGAGCAGGGATGGGAAACGTCTGGCCCGTGGGTCATCTAAGGCCCCGAAATCATTTGGTCTGGCTCTGCCAAGGCATTAGGGATGAGTTAATTAAATGTTTGACCAAATATAGCAGGCCAGTTTTTAAGCTGATAATTTTGTATTGCCCTCAAATGATGTTATAAATATCCAAATGGCCCTGGGCAGGAAAAAGGTTCCCCACCTCTGTGTTAAGAGCATCAATGTGGGGTTATTTTTCCTGGGTACCATTTAGGCTACAAGCTTTAGTTCTGTCCAATTCCCTCATTTTACAGGCAAGTGATACCTGGAGTGCTAACAGAACCACCTTGGTGTCCTAATCCCTAATGTAATACTTTTTCCATTATATTGTGAATACAGTACTAACTTAAATATAAGAATAACTTTTTAATATCTTAATGTCTTAAAAGAAAGACTTAAAATACATGATCAATGAACAAAATGGTAATACAAAGCCCTATTACCATTACATTTACCTCATATAAGATTTGTCCTGATGCCAAACACTTTCTATCCCCAAAGGCCAGCTGAAGCAGATGCAAACTCAGAACATCCCCTTCACTGAAAGAGAGATCAGCATGTTTTTTTACTGTTTCTCCTAAGAAATACTAACAATCATATTAATTACACTAAGCATCTCTCACTGTCCAAATCAGTCCAGTTTGAATACAGTATTGAGTGCGTATGATAAAACTAAGGTCACTGTGCCTGGGCAGTGTGGCTTAGTGGTTGAACATCAACCTATGAACCAGGTCACAGTTTGAGTTCTGATCAGGACACATGCCTGGGTTGCGGGCTCAATCCCCAGTAGAGGGCATGCAGAAGCTAGCTGATCAATGATTCTCTCTCATTGTGGATGTTTCTATCTCTATCTCCCTTCCTCTCTGAATCAATGAACATATATTTTTTTAAAAAAGAAAGGAACTGCCGTTTGACCCAATGATCCCACTTCCAGGAATATATCCTAAGAATTCTGAAACACCAATCAGAAAGAATATTTGCACCGCTATGTTCACAGCAGCATTATTTACAATAGCTAAGATCTGGAAACAGCCTAAGTGCCCATCAGTAGATGAGTGGAACAAAAAAGCTGTGGTACATTTACACAATGGAATATGATGTGGCTATAAAGAAGGAACTCTTACCCTTTGTGTCAGCATGGATGGACCTGGAGAGTATTATGCGAAGTGAAATAAGCCAGTCAGAGAAAGACAAATACATGCTCTCAGTTATATGTAGAATCTAATGAACAAAATAGGTCCAGAGGCACGGACGCATGGAACAGAATGACATATCTCAGAGGGGAAGGGTATGGAGGGGACGGGAGGAGATTAGCCAAAGAACATATATGCACATATGCATAGCCCGTGGACACAGACAATAGTGTGGGAAGGCCTGCTGTGGGGCAGAGGCTGAGTGGAGAAGGGCAAAGGGGGAGGAAAGGGGACATCTGAAATACTGTCAATGATAAAAATAAACATAATGCCCTCTCATTCCTGACCACACAAAGCCGTCACAAGGCCCATTTCTCAATGCTGTTGGCCCACATTACACTCAGATGAATGGAAATACGAATTTGATCCAAATGAGGGGCAGCTCAATAGATATCTCTGTATTTTCTCCAGGATTGACAAATTTGAAAAATGGCAAATCATTTTTTCATTCATTGCCTTGTTACTACAATGTAAGGTTAAGACAAAACCTCAAACGTGAGGACATCGAAAACAAAAACCCAAATTGTCCACAACGCAGGTACATAAAATCTAAGGTAGAATAGGACCTGGAAAGAGAAAGTACTAGGATCAGTGAGTTATCAGGATCATGGCATTTACACCACAAACTTTAATTTCACTGATCATCAAAGAAAGAACTAAATACCTAAGAAAACATGTTAAAAATCAGTACTAAATACTGTTCTAGCACTGGAAATGAACCAGTTAGAAATTAAATTGAAAAGATCTGTCCATAGTTGCACATTAGAACATTAGAGCTTATGACTGGGAAAAGTCAATCCTAAAAATATACTAGAAAACAGAGTAGGGATAAATAAAAATGGGAGAGGCATACAAAACAGAGGAAAAAGGAATGAGATTATAAAGAGAAAAGATGTTCTTACAAGAGAACACAGAAAGCCATAAAAATTGCCTCTAGTAATACTAGGTTGCCTGCTCATCTGAATTGGCTTACACTTTGAAATAACATTGAAACAAATCAAGCAAGCACAACTTCTTCTGATATATGAGAATTACTTAAACTTGTAGAAATAATCATTTAACTTTTTTTTAAAGTATATTTTTATTTATTTCAGAGGGAAAGGGAGAGGGAGAGAGATAGAAACATCAATGATGAAAGAGAATCATTGATTGGCTGCCTCCCGCATGCCCCACACTGGGGATCGAGCACACAACCTGGGCATGTGCCCTTGATCAGAATCGAACCTGGGACCCTTCGGTCTGCAGGCTGACGCTCTATCCACTGAGCCAAAATAGCTAGGGTTCATTTAACTTTTTTAATCATTTCAACTATCACTAATTCACTGAATTATGTTGTTTTCACTAAAAAGAGACAACACAGTACAAAGTAAAAGCTTTCCAAAGAAATTAAATACTGCTCCATTTTTGACAAATACTTTTTAAAAACACATGTATCACACTTACCTATCTTGTGTAGACTGAACAGCCCACAAGTAACAGCAATTACGAGGATCATTCTCAGGTTCTTGAAAAGTAACAGCATATACGGGAACCCTTCCACTTTCCAATTGTGTGTAGTATCTGTAAGAGGCACAAAAATTAGTATACTTCATACTTTTAAATTATAGCTATGTTAAAGAAGGTGCCTCAATATAAGAATTTGAGTTAGAGCAACTACTGTTCATACAACCATCTTCAAAAATACACAGGAGCCCTGGCCAGTATGGCTCAGTGGATAGAGCGTTGGCCTGCAGACTGAAGGGTCCCAGGTTTGATTCTGGTTGGGGGCACATGCCCAGGTTGTGGGCCTGATCCCCAGTGGTGGGTGTGCAGGAGTGGCCAATGTTGTGCTCAGGGGTTAGAGCATCAATCTGTGCACCAAAGGGTTGCAGGTTTGATTCCCCTTTAAGAGCACATACCTGGGTTACAGGTTTGATCCCCACCCCACTGGGTCAGGTGCAGGAGGCAATCAATCAATGTGTCTTTCTCACATCGATGTCTATCTCTCTCTCCTCTCTCCCTCCCTTCCACTCCGGTGAGGATTAACAACAAAAAACACACAGGGTACAAGACATCAAGACAATGAGCATGAAAAAAAAAAGACAACGAGCATGGCATGCATCCCCCCAGGGAGAACTGGGAAGGGTTAAAATTAATAAAGCACAGAATATATGTATGTGTGAGCTAGTCCTTCTAGTACATATAAATATATGCCACTATGTACTGCTCCCCAATAAGAGGTACCCTCGAGAGATGAAATACTGCCACAAGACTCCATTTCTTCAGCTGCATGGATTTAAGCATCAGTTCCACTATGTTTGCTACCTCCCTCAATAAAGGAGTACTTCCCTCAATAAAGGGTTAATTCCTTGGCAATTTTAACACCATAAAAGTATCAATATAATTATATTTGGACAAAGTTTTGCACAGCATAACAATTTTAAAACACAGCATTTTAGAACTGATTTTTTAAAAAGCCTTTGCTTTTCTGTCTACTGGGAACAACTACTTTACACATACTTATACATCCTATATAATAAAAGGCTAATATGCATATTGTCCCCTTGACTGGAAGTCTGACCAGGGGGGCGGGCCCAGCTGGCAAACCTCCCATGTCCCCTCTCCCGGGCCAGCCCAGCTCAGTGGGCCCCAATTGGGGTGGGGCAGCCAGACCCCACTGGTGCACAAATTCGTGCACCGGGCCTCTAGTATGGTTATTAAAAAAGATACTTATGAAAAAATTCATACGATATAAATATCTTTAGAGTCATGCTTTATTAGCAAATTTAACACAATAACTGAAATGCCTTTTAAAATATACACTGAAAGAATCAGCCTAAATTCATGTGCTAAGTCATTTCTTTATTATATCATCATGATTTAATACAATAAAAAATTATTCAGTCACTCAATCATTAATTTATCCTACCATTTTCCCCTTAAGCTAATTTTTACATATTAATAGGGTACAAGTTATATTCAGAAAGAAACTGCCAAAAATCAAATCAGAAAAGTTATCCTTACTCTCTTTTCATGCTTTTCATATTCCAGAGTGCTAGGTAGCCATCAGAAAAACCTACAGCAAGATGATTGGTCCTGTTAATGTAACTAAGAGTTGAAACTGCTGTTCCCGATGGGCTTACTAACTGGAAACACAGATGGCGGCCTTCTCCTATTGCACGTTCTCTGAGGTGTGGTACTTCGGCTGGAATACCAGCTATAACTTCAAGGTCTAAAAAAAAAAAGTGAGATAAACGAACTATGAACAGCATAAAAACAAATGTGTCACCCATTATTCAAGCAGAAATTGAAGACCACTGGGGTAGATAGGAAGAGGAAGGATCATGCGGTCATCATCTGACCTGATCACTAACTGTGAAACAAGATGCCATGTGCCTCCTGATGTGATACAGTATGAAGTACCCAGCATTTATGACGTATCCTTGCCAAATGTTAAGTCTGAATCTAATCAGAGAGAGCTGAGATTTTCAGAAAATATAAAGTGTAAATAATACCACATGAAACACACAGATAATTTCAAATGTGGAGCATTACACCAGGCAACTTCTTCAGCAAGTCACTGGATAGAGAGGACTGCTCTACCTTCAAGGAAACATGAGAGATGTCAAGTGAAATGTGTGGACCTTGTCTGTGTCCTGATTCAAACAATCTAATTGCAAAAAGATGCTTTAGAGACAATCACAGAAATCTGATTATTCAACTATTTACCAGCAATTTCAACCTTTTTCATCTCATAACACACATAAATATGTTTTTTGCTGATCTGGAAATAAAAGGCATAATTTCATTCCTTCACACTGAATGGCTATTGTCCTGTTGGCTGTTGTCATTTTTTATTTGATAATCTAAGGGAAAAAAGGTCAGTGTCCCTGACTAGTCAGGTATTGCATGTTTTAAAAATCCTTTGCCGAAACCGGTTTGGCTCAGTGGATAGAGTGTAGGCCTGCGGACTGAAAGGTCCCAGGTTCGATTCCGGTCAAGGGCATGTACCTGGGTTGCAGGCACATCCCCAGTGGGAGATGTGCAGGAGGCAGCTGATCGATGTTACTCTCTCATCGATGTTTCTAACTCTCTATCTCTCTCCCTTCCTCTCTGTAAAAAATCAATAATATATATTTAAAAAAATAAAAAACATAAAAATCCTTACAGCACACCAGTTGGAAAATCACTAAACTATACCAAAGAATTAATTAATATGTTGTTAAGAGTGGTAATGACATGATTATGTAGTAAAATAACCATTATTTACTTTGAATTAATGCAGAGGAAATGAGAGAAAGGAGAGTGAAAGAAAATGGATGCATATAAAGTAACTTTTGAAAACTAACTTGAATTTAGGTGATGGGTATGTGTGGATTCTTATATTCTTTTACCTACTTGAAGACGATGGTAATCTTTAATGAAACAAAAATATTCAGGCCTGTATATTGATATAACTATTGTGCAAGGGCAGATTCCCTCAATGTTATTATGAAGGGGTTACAAAATCATATTCCACTGTGCTTGCTTCAGCAACACATATACTAAAATTGGAACAATACCGAGATTAGCATGGCCCTGCGCAAGAATGACACAAATTTGTGAAGTGTTCCATATTAGAAAAAAAAAAATCATATCCCACTGTTCTTGAAGTTACCCTCTTGATCCCTACTGTTTCTGATTATTTTTTCAGAGAATAGTGATTAAATGTTGCCAAAATATAATATTTCATATAATAAAATACTGTAAACTTATTCAAGAAAATAAGGTAGACTCTACATGTACTGATGTGACAGAATATGTAAGAAATACCGTTAGGTTTGGAAGAATTGCAGAACAGTATCTATGGTATGATAAATGTTAGGAACTTCATTTTCTTTATGTGTATTTCAATAAAGTCTAAATAGTTGTAACCACAAATTACATTTTTAAACAAAAAAATCAATTTTGCATTGAACCCCAACACTCAATTTTTTGTATGTGTGCTATAAAATTCAATGGCTTAATAATTCTCATAATTGAGATATGGTTCTAACCCAGCCGTGGGCAAACTACGGCCCGCGGGCCGGATCCGGCCCGTTTGAAATGAATAAAACTAAAAAAAAAAAAAAAAGACCGGACCCTTTTATGTAATGATGTTTACTTTGAATTTATATTAGTTCACACAAACACTCCATCCATGCTTTTGTTCCGGCCCTCTGGTCCAGTTTAAGAACCCATTGTGGCCCTCAAGTCAAAAAGTTTGCCCACCCCTGTTCTAACCTCTGATCACAATGCAGTTCAATTATAAAATTATTCTTGTGTTAAATTCAACTACTGATTGTTGCTTTCTAAAATAAAAGATGTTTTAACTCTGCCCAACCAGGCGTGGCTCAGTGGTTGAGTGTTGACCTATGAACCAGGAGGTAATAGTTCAATTCCCAGTCATGGCATATGCCTGGGTTGCTGGCTGTATCCCCATTTGGGGGACCATGTCAGAGGTAGCCAATTAATGATTTCTCAACACTGATGTATCTCTCTCTCTCTCCCTTCCTCACTGAAATTAATTAAAAAAAATATATATTTTTTTAAAAAAGATGTTTTAACTCTATTTTGATCTGAAGTTTTAATTATGATACAAGCATTTTAATTAGCCTTACAGCTATATCATATAAAAAACACACTCCAGAACAAAACTTCAAGACTATTTAATTCCTTTTCAATTTTCCTAATTCAATTTTCTACTAAGAGCAATTAAACCATTTCTAATATTCTACAAACTCATTTTTACTTACTGTTTTTTTACTAATCAATTCTTTTCATTTAAACTTATTTTGCAGATTTAAATTTAGTTTAAATGGTTAAGTCCCTCAGTCAATTTCTGGTCAAATTTTTGCCGCTTGCAGTTTTATTATATACTGACAATTTTTATTAGTTATGCTCATAAACTGGGATAAAATAGTGATAAAACAGTTTGTTATCTATTTCTACTTCTTAAGCTGTCCATAAAAGAAGAGATCTGGCCCTAGCCAGTTTGGCTCAGTGGAAAGAATGTCGGCCTGAGGTCTTAAGGGTCCCGGTTCAATTCTAGACGCGGGCATATGCCCAGGTTGTGGGCTCCATCCCCAGTAGGGAGCGTGCAGGAGGCAGCCGATCAATGATTCTCTCTCTTTATTGATGTTTCTCTCTCCCTCTCTGAAATCAATAAAAATATATTTTTAAAAAAGAACAGATCTGCAATATTACAGGATGCTTTAAAAATCAAGACGGTGCCCAGCTGTTGTGGCTCAGTGGATGAGTGTCGACCTATGAACCAGGAGGTCACACACGGTTGATTCCTAGTCTGGACACATGTGCAGGTTGCAGGCTCAATCCCCAGTAGGGGGCATGCAGGAGGCAGCCAATTAGTGGTTCTCTTTGATCACTAATGTTCCTATCTCTATCTCTGAAATCAATAAAAAATAAAATTCAAGGTCCTCAAAGGTCAAATGGTCCTTTTGTGAGAAACATCGATAGGTTGCTTCCAGTATGCACCCGACAGGGATGGAACCCCAATCTATGTATATGCCCTGACCAGGACAGGAATCGAACCGGCAACCTTTTGGTGTAGTGTACAGGCTAACGCTCTAACCAACTGAGCCACCTGGCCATACCACACCTGTTTGTTTTTCTGTGTTATTTTTGTTATTGTTAATCCTCAACCTAGGATATTTTTCCACTGACTTCTGGAGCAGTGGTTCTCAACCTTGGCTGCACATTAGAATCACCTGGGAATCTTTTTTAAATCCTGATTCCTGGGCCTCATCCTCTGGAAATTCTGTTTGTTTTGTTTTTTTTTTTTTTTAAATCTTGTGTTTTTTTTTTGTTTTTAAATATATTTTATTGATTTTTCACAGAGAGGAAGGGAGAGGGATAGAGAGTTAGAAACATCGATGAGAGAGAAACATCGATCAGCCGCCTCCTGCACACCTCCTACTGGGGATGTGCCTGCAACCAAGGTACATGCCCTTGGCCGGAATCGAACCTGGGACCCTTCAGTCCGCAGGCCGACGCCCTATCCACTGAGCCAAACCGGTTAGGGCGAAATTCTGTTTGTTACTAATGTTGTGGCCCCACCCCATAACAAAGAAACAGAATTTCTGGAGGATGAGACCCAGAAATCAGGATTTTAAAAAGATTCCCAGGTGATTCTAATGTGCAGCCAAGGTTGAGAACCATTGTTCTAGAGCAGTGATGGCGAACCTATGACACGCGTGTCAGAGGTGATACTCGAATTCATTTTTTTGGTTGATTTTTCTTTGTTAAATGGCATTTAAATATATAAAATAAATATCAAAAATATAAGTCTTTGTTTTACTATGGTTGCAAATATCAAAAAATTTCTATTTGTGACACGGCACCAGAGTTAAGGTTTTTCAAAATGCTGACACGCCAAGCTCAAAAGGTTCGCCATCACTGTTCTAGAGGGTAAAAGGGAGGCAGGGAGGCAGGAAGGCAGAGGGAAAAAGAGGGAGAGGGAGGGGAAGGGGGGGGAGAGGAAGGGAGGAAGAAAGGGAGGGAGGGAGAGAAGGAGAGAGAGAGAGAAAGAGAGAGAGATATCAATGTGAGAGAAACACATTGGTTGCCTCCTGAACATGCCCAACCAAGGCCAGAGATCGAACCCAGGTATGTGCCCTTGACTGGAAATCGAACCCACTACCCTCTGGTGTGCAGGCCAAAGCTCTAACCATTGAACACACCAGTAAGGGCAGGGCCACACATTTTTAAAAAGTTTTTAAGTTACTTCCCCTCCCTACATAAACCAATCAAGAGTCCCATAAATTTAAAAAATGAAATAAATACCAAAAACCTAAAAACAATGGATAAAGTGTAAATTTACTAATATAAGCATTATTAAATAGAAAAAACTGCCTCTCTTCACTTTTTAATTTTTATTGGAGTAGCATTAGCTCTATTCTGAGATGTTATTTTGTAAGGTATAACTTTCAATCACTGTTATTTCCTAGTGAATTATTTGTGTCTTGTCTTACCATAGGAACATAAACAGCATGCCAAAACACTGTTAGATCCTACATGGATAAAAATAAAATCTTGATAAAGTTCAACATTTTATACCTTTAGTTCTTGTCTGACATTTACTTGATATTATTCAAGTATATATCTGAAAATAAATCAATATCCCTATCTCTTTCACTTTAAAAAAATATTTTTATTGATTTCAGAGAGGAAGGGAGAGAGAAAGATGGAAACATCAATGATGAGAGAGACTCAATGATCGGCTGCCTCCTCCACACCCCCCACTGGGGATGGAGCCCACACCCGGGCATGTGCCCTTGGAATCGAACAGCGACGTCCTGGTTCACAGGTAGAGGCTCAATCACTGAACCACATGGGCTGGGCCTTCTCTTTCAATACCTGCTTTAGTATATGAACAGTTCATCAACAAAATAGACTAAAATGCAAAAGCTATCAACAGTGCCCAAAACATTAAAACAATAGGTCCAAACAATGAAAGAAACAAAGATACATAAAGAAGTCTCTATAAAATTTTTTTTTACTTTGAAAAACTCAATCCCTTAAATCAAAATATTCTGGTGCTCAATTTTTGGTTTCAAGCAAAGAAATTACCTGATGCCTCCACTTCATTCTGACTGCATGATAAGTCATCAAGACATAGGTCAATGAGAAGGATCTGTCCAACATTAGTTGCCACAGCTGCCACCCCAAAAAGCCACCGCAAACTTGGGTGCAAATGCTGAGTGCTTGCACTGGCTCCTCCATGATTAATTATAGGTTCAATAGCTATTACCTAGAAAGGAGAATATATGATTTGCTTTTCTTATACAAGGTGAGAAAATGCAATTAAAACATAATAACTTTTGAGGTTAAGGCAGGTTACTAGGTTTAACAGACAATTTCAAACAAAATCGAAAATCTGCATCTGATACTTGTGAATATGAATAACATAATTAAATCTTTCAATATAATAGGGATTATACCATTATTTCAATATATAAAAACTCATGCAGCTGAAATAACTGATGTGCTAACTGGTTCATTTAATGTTCACGATAACCCTTTGACCCGACCTGTGCACGAATTTCATGCACCGGTCTTTAGTTCTAAATAAGCCTTTTCCCCAAATGTTCCATATACTGTGATTTTTTACATTCTGGTCCCTTTGCCTGAAATGTCCAACCTTTTTGAGTAGAAATTATTCAGGTGTTCTCCATGTTCTAAATGGTTGAATTTATGAAAGTGCTTATTATATTTATGCTGTAATCTTATCAGCCTTCTACTAGACTACAAGATTTCAGACAGCACGAACCAAGTTCAATTCATCTATTTGTCCTCAAAATCTAGCAAATAGCTTGATTTATAATAAGCACTCAATATATGTTTTGCTAAGTTAATTCTGCCTTAGAATCATCATCACTGGCAAGTACATATATAACACCATCAATTACTGCAGACCCTGCACATTGGCCTACAACAGTGATGGCGAACCTTTTGAGCTAGGCGTGTCAGCATTTTGAAAAACCCTAACTTAACTCTGGTGCCGTGTCACATATAGAAATTTTTTGATATTTGCAACCATAGTAAAACAAAGACTTATATTTTTGATATTTATTTTATATATTTAAATGCCATTTAACAAAGAAAAATCAACCAAAAAAATGAGTTCGCGTGTCACCCGACACACGTGTCATAGGTTCGCCATTACTGGCCTACAAGGTCAGTTTCCTCAACTGTAAAAACACATTTTGTCATTAAGTTCCCTTTTAACTTTAAAAACTATTCTATGACTATATACATTACATATACATACACACATTTTTATGTATATCTCAGTGTATACTTTTTTCACACCAGGTATAGGAAGAATTCTATTCTTCCATAACTTTGTATTTGTGGATGTGTGTGTGCATTTGTTAAGTGTATACAGGTTTTCATCATGTATGAAACCTGCTGAACAAACCAAATTCAAAGTACTTCTATAATTACTACTGGGTAAAATGTCTGGCATATGGAGGGCATATAGACACTACAGTTAAGAAATGGTGACTATAAATGAGTCCACTATTTAAATACATTCCTCAAATCTTAAATAATAACAAAGGCATGTTTTCCATATTGCTCCAAGACTATGTAGTTGACTCTTGAACAACACAGGTTTGAACCACACAGATCCATTTACATGTGGATTTTTTTTTCATAGTACATACAGTACTATAAATGTATTTTCTCTTTCTTATGACTTTCTTTTTTTTCTCTAGCTTACACTATTGTAAGAATACAGTATATAATACATGTAATATACAAAAGTAGGTGGTTAATTGTATCAGTAAGGCTTCTAGTCAACGGTAGGCTATTAAGTTTTGGGGGGTCAACAGTTATGCACAGCCCTAGCCGGTTTGGCTCAGTGGATGAAGCGTCGGCCTGCAGGCTGAAGGGTCCCAGGTTCGATTCCGGTCAAAGGCATGTACCTTGGTTGCAGGCACATCCCCAGTTGGGGGTGTGCAGGAGGCAGCTGGTCGATGTTTCTCTCTCATTGATGTTTCTAACTCTCTATCCCTCTCCCTTCCTCTCTATGAAAATCAATAAAATACATATTTTTAAAAAAGTTATGCACAGATTTTCACCTGTGCCGAGGGGGGGAGGGATCAGTGCCCCTAACCCCTGCATTGTTCAAGGGTCAACTGTAGTCTCAAACAAACCAGGGAAAAAAAGCCAAATAAATATTTTTATAAATTTTTTTATTTTGAACTCTTAAATGAAAACTAGCATACTTCCATAAAGTGAACCAATTAGAAGTACACTGAGTAAACGCACTGTTGTCACTGTAATCAGCAGGGGCTCAGTTTTGAAACAAGATGTCCACACATCTTACACTGTACCTACCCTTCCGGGAAGAACGACTGCTTTAACCACTCGGGATATGCCCAGGTCATAGAGACAGAGGACACTCCCTTCTGCATCTTCCAGTCCAATCAACAATCCGCTTCTCTTCTGCCAAGAGAACTCTTTCACAGCGAGGATGATAGGTGACTCGTCACTCAGTCCACTGAATCTATACGCAGACAACCGCTCTCCTGTTATAGAGTGCACTACCTCAAGCTGTGGGCCACAAGTCAAGTAAGCAAGTCCATTTTTCCCTGGAAGAAAAAAAGCAAACATGTTGCTTATTTTAATATTGTATGTGTACAACAAAACTAAAAACTTCTACATACATAATCTATATATATAGAAAAGCCTAATATGCAAATTGTCCCCACGGGAGTTCAACTGGGAGACCGATCGCTTGCCATGAAGTACACTGACCACCAGGGGGCGGCGCAGAACGAAGGAAGGCCCCAGCCGGCAGCCAGCAGCGGGGGAATGGAGGCCCCGCTCAGCAGCCAGAAGGCCCCAATTGGCCCTGATTGCCAGCCAGGCCTAGGGACCCTACCCATGCACCAATTTCATGCACTGGGCTTCTAGTATAATAATAATAAATAACCAGTAAAGGCACCATGCTATGCAATTAAATGCATTATCTCATTGACTCCTTGTTGAACCTCAATACAGAGAAAAGGCAACTAAACTTTCATACAGTGAAATAATTTGCCCAAAGACGAACAGCTAAATACCAGAGCAGAAGTAGATCCCATTTAAGTCCAAAGCTCATAGTTTAACTACATTATACCTTAAGAGTTAAACTAGGTGTTCTAAAATATAACATGTGACTCTATTCCAGAAGAATTCAAAATCTAACTGAGAAGACAAAACCTAAGTAGCATAACAAAAGGAAGTATCTATCAGAAGCCCTTCTAGTCATGTGTGGATTTTACTCTTCGTGCAATTTAAAGTAACTAGAGGGTATTAAGCAGGACAGTGACAATCTGATTTCTGTTTTTAAATGTGCTGGCATGGTGCAATGGATGAGCATTGACCTATGAACCAGGAGGTCAAGGTTCGATTCCCAGTCAAAACACATGCCTGGGTTACGGGCTGGATCCCCAGTAGGGGATGTGCAGGAGGCAGCCGATCAATGATTCTCTCTCATCATTGATGTTTCTATCAAACTCCCCCTCTCCCTTCTTCTCTGAAATCAATAAAAATATATTTAAAAGTAAATAAAATGAAACAAATGTTACTCTAGCTGTTAAGCAGAGAATGGACAGTAAGGGGGAAGCATAAAGAAGTGGGGAAATGATACCTATGCTTGGTTGGTGATCAATAATTGGGAAAAGTTGATTGACTGAAGATTCATCTTAGAGTCAGTACTAAAAGACCTGCTTGCTGATGAATAAGATATGGGAGGTAAGTAAAACAGAAGAATAAAAACAGACCCTGAATTTTCCCTTGAGCTGCTAGATGGACGGTGGTAACTTTTATTACTAAATTTTTGATGTCTCTCATGCATCTAAGTAGATAGATAATTGGATATACTAGATTATAGCTGAGGGGAGGCAAATAGTTTAAGGAAGTAGTATGGCACAGTGGGGACATAGAAGGCATGGGTTCAAAGCTCATATTTACCACCTGCTATCTAATAACTTAGAACAGGTCACACAATAGTAATTACTTAGAAAAGTCTACTATTTACCTCAGTGAAAAGTTGTTACAGTAAGTACTGTTCAAGAGAATAGCACTGTAAATAGCTAAATGACCAATACAAATGTTTCGCTTCTCTTTCTCCTAGGAAGGAGGGCTGCGATATTCACTTTCAGAAAAGTCTTCTGCAGCCCTGGCCAGTGCGGCTCAGCTGGCTGAGCACTGTCCCATGCCCTGAAAAGTCACCGGTTCCATTCCCGGTCAGGGCACACACTCAGGTTGTGGGCTTGATTCCCGGCAGGAGGCAGCCAATAGATGTTTCTCTCTCTCCCTTCCTGTCTCTAAAATCAATAAAATCATTTTTTAAAAAGTATTCTGCAGTGTCTTTCACTAAGCTGAAATTCATAATATAATGGCTTTTTGGGTGTGATTTTCTGTATTATATAATCCAAACCATATATATTGAGATCTTGTTCAGATTAATGGAATTACAAACTAATATTTTGTCTCCCACAGGGCCCTAAAATTCAGAATTGTTTAGGTTCTAATCCAAGCTCACCAAAAAAACTTACTAATTATAAAGAAAAACCAGCTGTGTATTATTTCTACTTTCCAAATGTAGATACTCAATACTAAAAGACATTAAATATGCAGTATTTTTAATGAAGAAAAATAAACTACACTCCCTCCCAAGTCACTGAAAATGTGTTCCAGAGTATGTAGATACTACTATATGTGTAGTCACAGATGTTATGTATTTACTTAAGACCACTCTAACCAGGATATGCTTTTTTCCTCATCCACATTAAAGAAATTGCAATAGATACTTATTACTTATCTTATAAATCAATCAAATTTGCAAATTTTCAGCAACATTACTTTACCTGCAGCAAACTTTCCACGAAGTACAGATTCTAATGTGATTTCATCTTCTCCCAGGGCTTCAATAGTCACTTCTGGGAACTGCAGAAGACCGCTCGTCACCTGTGCTGCTAAGTCTTGCATACTTTCACTGTAAATGTTTCAAAAAGATATTTCCATGATATTTCTATCATAATACACTTGTTTATCTCTAACCAGGAGAAAAAGAAAAGCCATCAAAAATAAAAAACCTAAAACTGAAGTATGATTATAAAAAATACATATTAATGTGCTTCTGGATCTGAGGTATTCTCTCCTAAGAAAATATTTCCCAAACAGACTTAGCAGAATAAAGATTAAGCCAGATGTCCCAAGGACATATATGAGTCCCTAGATTCTTTGAAAACTGGTTCAATGCAATTAATCTTATTGCCTGACTCTCAAAGAATACTTCACACACACAAAAATACTAATATACATTTTAGAAAAATTACTGCTATGATAAAAGGGGGGAAAGTCCAAGAGAAAAAAAAAAAGTCCAAATCCACAGTAACACATCTTTAACTAGATAGAAAAAAATCTAAAATTATGTTTCATTACCATATATATAGAAGACTAGATTCCCTGAATGACCCTTCCATTGTGAACAACCAAATATAATGGTTAAAATGTAAAAGTATCTTTTCCGATGATTACTGCGTTGGCAAAGCCAAAAGGGAAGAGGCAGTAGGTATTTTGTAAGGCAAGTAAGCTGCTTGGCTGTGAGGCTGACCCGTCCTGGTGATCCTGATGTTGCTTTCAGCACTCTGAGGTCCAGAGAGGAAGAAGATAAAGCTTTGGGCCAACGGAGCCAGAGCCAATAAGCCAAGAAGAGCCTCCCCACCCCACCACTTTACATTACACTCCACAGGACTATATCATCAGCATAAAGATTAGTGAGAGAAACATTCATTGTGCAGGACAAGGAGAAATAAAGTTGCCTGCTTTGACCTTGGCAACAAGTCTCTACTCAGAAAATTTCCCTTCACACAAATCAGTGGCCAGAATTCAAACCATGCTGTAAGCAAGTACTCAGGTGAAGAATTTCTTACAAAGTGTTCTCAGGTTGGTAACGTTCCAAGCAACCTCCAGAAACCACCACATTTTCTCTGGAATCTTCAGAGTTCTCAAAGTTCCAACAAAAAGGGGCTCACAATCAAAATAACAAAACAGAATAATGATATGATCAACATCTGGCAAAATAAGTCTGCAAAGACTTCAGACAGTTAAATAATCAGAACACAAGTATGTTTAATATGCTTAAAGAAACCAAAGATTTAGCTTGCTAGTGAGGAAGAAACTTTAAAAATTAAAGAGCCCTGGCCAGGTGGCTCAGTTGGTTGGAGCATCATCCCGTGCTTCTGGTTTGACTCCGTCAGGGCACATACCTAGATTGCAGGTTGATCCCTGATTTGGGCCTGTGCAGGAGTCAACCAATCAATGTTTCTTTCTCACCTCCCCCTCTCAATGGGAAAATATCCTCGGGTGAGGATTAACAACAACAAAAGAGTGGAAGTCTTTTTATTATCCAAAACAAATCCTAAAGTATAATCTAATCTAATAAAAGGGTAATATGCAAATTAACCATCACTCCATCACAAAATGGCGGCGCCCATAGTGTCACGTGCAGCAGAGGGAGGGAGGGCATTTGGGCAGGAAGCATGCCACAGCCCAGCGGACACAACGCAGGGGGGCCTCTGTGCGTGAGCTGCAGAGGAAACACCTTTTCTGACCGCTCATTGGCTAAGCTCCCTGTACGCCGCCACTCGCAGTGTTCTTGGTAACTTGGGTTATGAAAATCCAAGGTGATCTAGGGTTTTTCAGCCACACTCCTGGAGGAAAAAACTGAGGTCCGCTGCTGGAGGGGCTAAGAAATGTCATATCCTGCCCTAGCTAGTTTGGCCCAGTGGATAGAGCCTCGGCCTGCCGACCGCAGGGTCCAGATTCGATTCTGATCAAGGGCATGTACCTAGGTTGCAGGCTCCTCCCTGGCCGGGGCCCAGGTCAGCGCTCATGCAGGAGGCAGCCAATCGAAGTGTCCCTCTCACATTGATGTTTCTGTCTTTCCCTCTCTCTAAAAATCAATGGAAACATATCCTCAGGTGAGAATTAAGAAAGAAAGAAAGAAAGAAATGTCATATCCTATGAAAGAGACATCTTGAAAATGCCTAAAGAAAGTTGTCATTTTTTTGTGGTGAAGGGAGTGGAGTCCGTGTTGATGAATACCTTGGTGGCTGCGGCGGCCGGCAGTGGCAGCAGCAGCGGGGTGATGGGGCTGGTGCTTCCCCCTAATCAGCCCAGTCACCTCCGCAGAGGGAGGCCAGACTTCAGCTTAGGCCCGCTCCCCACAGGCCTAAGCCGTCAGTAGGACATCTCCTGAGGGCTCCCAGTCTATGAGAGGGGGCAGGCTGGGCTGAGAGACGGCCCCCCCCTCAGTGCACGAATTTCGTGCACCAGGCCTCTAGTTGAATATAAATTAATTAGGTTATAATTACTATAACATAGTAAATGGAAAATAGTGACCATTAGCCTCAAGTGTAACATCTCATATTTATAGGAGGATCCTAAGCCTTAGTTGCTGAAAGCATTATAATTTACACAGATTGATCACAGTCCTCTCTCCTAAGTATCTTAGTACAGAGGAAAACTTTAGGAAAGGCCACGATCATTGATATTATGTTTCCTCCGCTGATAGCCTTCTATAGCCTTGATAAAATGAGTGTAATGGTAAAATGAAGTTAATATATTTTCCTATTAAACTTAAAACCAGCCCTAGCTGGTTTGGCTCAGTGGACAGAGCATGGGCCTGTGGTCTGAAGGGTCCCAGGTTTGATTCTGGTAAAGGGCACATACCTCAGTTGCAGCTGGATCCCCAGCCCTGATTGGGGCACATGGTGGAGGCAACCAATCGATGTACCTCTCTTACACTGATGTTTCTCTCTCTCTGTCTCTCCCCTCCCTTCCACTCTCTAAAAATTAATGGAAAAATATCATCGGGTGAAGATTAACAAATAAAATGAAATAAAAGAAAATAAACTTAAAACCAAAGTCATTTATCCAGAGCTAAAACCTTCAGAATTCCATGTGGTAGTTCTCCTCAAAATGTATTCAGTGGAGTGTTCATGGGCATTTAGCAAAAAAGTTTTATGATCACTGCAATTCAATCAGGGTCACCCAACATAATTTTTAAGACTTTCACAAGGTGATTCCAAAGTTCGTCTGAATGAATAATGAACAATGATCAATTATTTGAAAATAAAATGTTTTCTTTCTGAGGCTGGATGTGTTGTCTGTTACTGTATTATTGTTTTTAATATAAAACAAAGATTATGATGTGGAAGTACTGGCTGAGTCACAGTATATTTTTAAATTGTAATTTCCACTGCAGATATACCCTCCCACTTTAAAAAACAGGACAGAGTATATGAAAACAAGGAGTTCAGACAATGGACAAAAGGTAGCACAGGATAGTGGGCCCTTAGGGAAGTAAAACACACCAGATGACCTCTAGGGCTGTGTATAGAATGTCCAGGACACAGAGCACAGTGGGGAACCCAAATACAGCCCCAGGGTCTCTCTAAGTTGAGAAGAGAGAGTTGAGAATGCCAGGAAGCCAAGGTAGCTAGAATTCTCAGGCAGAGTACTGCAGTACAATTGGCCATACAAAGAACTCCAGAATTCCGCAGTGGTTTCCCCTGAATCTTCACATGATCAACGTAAGCATGTAAGGAAACTACCAGAGGCCAAGGAATGAATCATTGGAAAACTAAAGGAGAAACAACCCCTAGAGCTTACACAGGGCCAGGAATAGCTCCATAGTGGAAAAACCTCATAATACATGGGGCACACAGTAGAGTACTCAGAAAGGCATTGATTTCTTCAATAATAGGGAGAAAAATTAGCCCTTGTCTAGAAAGGCTCAATAAAGCAAGCCTCAAAAGAATCAAAGACTTTCCAACTAACTTATTTGGAACTAAGCTCAAGACTATATAAAGGAATGCAAAAATATTCAGTATTTAAGAAAGCAAAATTTACAATGTTTGCCATCCAACCTAAAATCATCAGACACCTGGCCTGGTAGCTTTGTTGATTAGAGCATCGTCCTGATATGCCAAGTTTTGGGGTACCATTCCCAGTCAGGGCACATACAAGAATCAACCAATGAAGGCATGAATAAGTGGAGGAACTATAAATTGATGTTTCTCTCCCTCTCCCTCTCTTTCTCTCTCTAAAATCAACTAAACAACAACAAAAAAGTTATAAAAAATATCAACAGGTGCCCTAGCTGGCTTGGCTTAGTGGATGAGCGTCAGCCTGGGGACTGAAGGGTCCCGGGTTCAATTCCAGTCAGGGCACATGCCCGGGTTGCAGGCTCGATCCCCAGCAGGGGGCGTGCAGGAGGCAGCCGGTCAATGATTCTCTCATCATTGATGTTTCTGTCTCTCTCTCCCTCTCCCTTCCTCTCTGAAATCAATAAAAATACATTTAAAATATATATAGATATATATATAGATATAGATATCATTTAAAAAATATATATCTATATATATAGATATATATCATCAGGCAAGCAAAGCGGCAGGAAAAGGACTCATAGTAAGCAGGGAAAAACAACTAACAGAAACAGATCTAAAAATGACAGAAGTTAGAATGAGTTGATGAGGAAATTAAATCAGTTATTCTAGCCTTTAGTCCAAGATGATAGAGGAAGTATGAGCATGTTAAGGAGAGATCTGGAAGATGTAAGACTAAATCAAATTTCTAAAGATGACAAATTCATTGAATGGTATTAATAGATTAGACATAGGAAGCAGCAGTAAATGTAAACACCCACAGTAAATAACTGTCTAAAATGAAGCAGAGAAAGAAAGCTGGGCCAGGAGGAAAAGGACAGAGCTAAGGCACAACCTTGAGTGCCCTGATATTTGTAACAGAGATCTCCAAAAGGAGACAACAGAAATATTTGAAAAACAAATGGCCAAATTTTCCCCTAATTTGATGACAACTATAATCCCACAAATCCAAAAAGGTCAGTAAACCTCAGAAGCACAAGGAACATGAAAAAACTCCACCAAAATACAAAGAGAAGATCTTAAAAGTAGCACCTCACACAAAGAAACAAAGATAACAATGACAGGAGACTTATTAAACAATGTAAGCAATATGACAGTGAAACAACATTAAGTTCCAAAAGAAAACACTTTTATGACGTGCCAGCATTGGCAACCTCTAGAACAGCGGTTCTCAACCTGTGGGTCGAGATCCCTTTGGGGGTCGAACGACCCTTTCACAGGGGTCGCCTAAGACCATCGGAAAACACATATATAATTACATATTGTTTTTGTGATTTATCACTATGCTTTCATTATGTTCAATTTGTAACAATGACAATACATCCTGCATATCAGATATTTACATGACGATTCATAACAGTAGCAACATTACAGTTATGAAGTAGCAACGAAAATAATTTCATGGTTGGGGGTCACCACAACATGAGGATCTGTATTAAAGGGTCGCGGCATTAGGAAGGTTGAGAACCGCTGCTCTAGAAGGTAACTTACAAAGTTTCAACTCCTCCTCAAGACCTAGATAGGCACAGCCAGAACACTGTGCTGGCTGTCCCAGGTAAATACTGGTTTCTTGACGAAGCACATGGATCATGTCACTCCCCTCCTCAAACCGACTCCCTGCTGCACATCACAGTAACACCTTCAGCCACAGGCAAGCAAGGCTCTCCACAAGCGGGAAGTCCCAGACTACTTTACAGCATCGTCTCCTCAAACCACTTAACTTCCTTCATGAGTTGGCCACTGCCTAGCACTTTCATTCTTTTATTTC